AAGCTTATGCAGAGTTTAGTAGAATTTCTCACAAAATAAAATATATAGGTTTATATACATTGTATTTAGGTAATATTTTGTATTTTGCTGTGCATAGCCCCACAATTTGATTTAAAAGCACAGGTATCCTTTAAGGGCTCATGTACACGGGGTGTCTGAACGATGGAAACTGACTGCTGGAAAACAGGTTAAAAAAAGTCAGTTTAGCTGAGTTTGCATACCGCTTTTATGTTCATTTCCGTTTAGAAGCGTTTTTAAAAGATAACCTCAGGAGACCTTCCCAAATGCCCAGAATGCACTGAAAAGTAATAAAAATAACTATTTCAGACATTTTGAGAGGAATAGAGAGAGCAGAAGCAGAGAGAGCAGTATGTGTTGAGATGATCTTTCTTTTCTGGTTGTATTCACTTCAGATTCCATCATGAGCATAATGCGGCACGTTCTTCCATTTTTTCCTTCAAGCAAAACCTGGAACTGACTGCGCTGGTGTACTAGGTCCATTTGAATACATGGAAAATGCTTTGCATGCATTTCTGATGATGAAAAAAGGCAGCATTTGGATATGGAACAGTTAAAAAAACGCTTCTAAACGCAAACGCTTATAAATGCGGTTAGCCACATTTACAAGCGTTTGGGGTTTGAAACGCTGATAAAATCTACTCCTGAATGCAAGTTTGGTGCACTCAAAAAAACGACTGTAAACTCAACTGCCTGTAAACGACATAGTGTACATGTACACATAGGAAAACATAAGGGAGAGTTCAGGGGCTGCTGAAAAAAACGCAGAAAAGCTCCTGAACGTGAGTTTATCAGCTGCAGTGTACATGAGCCCTTAATGTTCCACTACGGACTTGGGCGCAAGGGCATTCATTGTTCTGCATCTGTGAAGCACTGGGATCTAAAACACATTTTTGTAACTTTGAAATGGATGATATGGATCAGTGTTCAGGTGAATTTATTGCCAAGTTTACTTTGGTAAATCCAGATGGTGGAATTTAATAAAGCCTTAATGACACTTTTCTGATAGTAGATTATATTATCTGCACCTAATTCAGACAAGCATTTGCACCAGTTTTGGTAACATTACTGACGCAGGAAACAAAATTCAGGTATGATAACAAAAAGCAAAAAGGGTGCACCAGCTTAGTGTATTACCAATGGCACCATTTATTATATTAAATGCGGTAAACAATTATACTCACAAACACTGATGAGCGTTAGGCTCATAGCATAAAACAGAAAGAAATTTCAATCATAGCTTCAGCCTGTAGCCATGGATAGGCACAGATGACACCCAATGATATGTACCGGACTCTGACACATTTCGAGGGTATACCATTTTCCTCAGCAAAAGCTTATAAATGGTGCCAATGGCAATGCACTAGTCTGCTGTGCCCTTCTTGCTATTTGTTTTAAGTGTTTTGGATTCCCCTATAAGAAGAGGACTGCAAGGCCTAGGGAGCATCTGGTGATCTGTGGAGAACCCAATCCGATTGGAGTGCCATCAGTGGGAACTATATATTTTCACTTCTATCCACCACATCTGAACACAGAAGGTAGTTCTTCCTACTGCCACTTTCAGAATCTGTCAATATGGCAGAAAAGATTCTCAAAAAATGACCGCCAGTTCACAGGTTAGGAAACTGGCAGTAATTAAGCTGTATTAAACAAAAGAAACAAAACAAAGATTTATTAAATTGCAGCTCACCAATTCATAGATGTGATGGATCTATTAGTTTTCTTTTTTGGGGCTTTTTTCCTTTATATTCACCTGGGGATCTGGTCAGTGTGTTATTTTTCAACCTATTTTACCATTAATATGACAGTTTCCCATACAGTTCTCTAACCCCATCTCCATTCAGCAGTTGGTTGGTAGATTCCCCAGCCAAAAGTTAAACGCTAAAGAAAGGGGCGGGGGATAGTGGTGAAGAAACTATTCAAATATGGCAATGCCCATATTTGACAGGTACAACGGTCGCAAGCACCGACAATTTTGGTGCAGCCATCTACAGAGTTCTAAAGGGTATCCAAGACACCGTAATGAATTCCCCCCCAGAATTTTCCTTTTTACATCTGTGTACGCTAATCCTAAAGCAGTAAGGGAATGAAAGCGGAGGCAATCAAATTCCAGTTGCGTCCCATAGACTTAATATGCAAAGTCACGTCACATAGACTTAAAAAGCAAAGTCATGTCTCATAGACTTTAATACAAAGTCACGTCCCATAAACTGCAATGAAAAAGCGCCTCTAGTGACTTCAATGCAAAAGCGAGTCCCATACACTTCAGTGCAAAATCACGTCCCATTGACTTCAGTGCAACAACGCCCTTTAGTAACTTCAATGCAAAACCGCAAGCCACATTTAAATACATTTTTTTAATTACATTCATTAAATCCTGTTGGTTTCGGTTTTCGGACAAGTGTATCATGAATTTTTGGTTTCAGCACCAGAATTTTCATTTCGGTGCACCACTATTTCTAATGCAAGAATCAAACTACAGACTACAAATACATGACTGTTTTTTTATGCACAATACTTCAGATATTACACATGAAGGACATGTGGCTCAATTATACAAACTGCATAGAAGAAAGTAGTGAGTCATCATCCATAGCAACAAGTACTTGCTTTCATTTCCTAGAAACTCGATTGTTATAAAAACAGTCTCAGATCAAGCACAGCAACAAACCTGAATATCATATGATGCAAACTACAGAAAACTGACATCTAGCAGTGACAACACAAATAGCTTCAAGATGTACTCTGCCTTCTTGAAAAAAGAAAGCATTTTTTCCTTGCCAGTCGATTTTTAGGACTTGTGGTCCCTTCAAAATGTTATTCTGTTTTCCAGGGAAAACACAAAAACAAAACAGAATCCTGTGCCTCTTCTTTTCATTTAGGCTGTATTTACATGGTTCCATGTCCATGCACCTCACACGGTAACATACATGTAGGTGTGCATGGGCCCCCATTGAATTTCTCTTTGTCATTCCCACTACACTGCAGCACATTGTTGTGAACCAGCCACACAGTAAAGAATGGGATTACCAGTTACATGTATTTCATGCAGCAAAACGGGGTGTAAACAGACACCATGTCATCAGATCCTACCCTACAAACCAAATCAATGTAAGCAAGCTACTAACTACAAGTGTTCTCACCAGAGTGTTTCAAAAAAATAACAAAAAGAGCTGCTGTCTTTAATATGTGTTATCACATCACAAACAAAAAAAGTATTAAAAACTATGGTGAAGCACTCTACTTAATCAACAAAAAACAATGCATTGGGCACACGTTTTTGCATAAAATGTGACTTCAATAAATCAATATGTTTTTTTTTTAAATAACTCTGCCCACTATCCTGAAATAAGGAATAATCACCTTATTTTTGGGATATGTGAAGCAATAAGACTGTTGAGACCATCTGTCATAGAAAAAAAGCTCTACTGAGCTGAAGACATCTACAGCAATCCAACCTGTCAAGCAGAAATCCTTCCTGTCATCCAGGCCTGCTGAAGATATCGGATGGTAATCACGTTCTCTAAATGGTAATCATGTTCTCTATAGAAGCATTGAAAGAAAATGAAAAAATGGCATCTAGTGATGCAAACTCGTATCTGCCCTTTAGCTACTGCACAAGAGTTACGTATATTGGAATCATAGCCTAGACCACAGCTATGCTCAACTCTGAGTGCCTAGGCTGTAAGTTAACAGGGAAGAGTTCCAATCCATTCTTGAAGATACCAACCCTACAGACATGACATGGTGATGCTAGAGGATTAATATAATAACAATAGTCACAATATAAATGTCACACCTCTATTAGTGCAATCAGGTGACTAAATCATGTGACCTTATTAAGAAATAGGTCTCGATATACTATACGTTGCCCCTGACCCACTCACTGATGTGAAAAGTGAGTATTAAATGAGTATCATAGGTGAAAAAAAGTTGATAACACTACAAGGTGGTGCTCAGCTCCAAACTACATGTTGCGTCACCGTCGCGTGACTTCGTCAGGATATCCTGACGAAGTCACGTGACGGTGACGCAACACGTAGATACGCGGTGACGCAATATCCGGTTTGCGGTGACGTACTTCCGGTACGGCCGCCATCTTAGAACACACTGATTGTAACCAGAAAACCCATGCAGTACACCCATACATCCTTATGGAGCTGTGGATTGTAACTTCAGCATGTGAGTTGACATCTGACTTATTTTAATAAAAGCACTTATTTTGTGGCATATTACGCTATGAGAGATTCTTCCTATATTTATGTCATCCGGATGAGAGGTATATCGTGCTGAGACCAGGAGCCAGTATATCCTGATTCCTTACCTTACCGGATGAGAGGTCCATGGGAGACTTGCTGGTGATATCTGCCAATGTTGGATCAAGATCCTGAGTGATCTTAAAGGCGTACAGGCCCTTTTGGCCGCAAAGTGGAGGTGAGGGGGCAATTTAGCCACAGGAGGAGAGGCACGCACCATCACTTGAAGTTTGCTGTGTGATCACTTGCATTGCATTATACCGTTTGGAGCTCAGCACCACCTTGTAGTGTTATGAACTTTTTTCACCTATGATACTCATTTAATACTCACTTTTCACATCGGTGAGTGGGTCAGGGGTCACGTATAGTATATCGAGACCCATTTCTTAATAATGGTCACATGATTTAGTCACCTGATTGCACTAATAGAGGTGTGACATTTATATTGTGACTATTGTTATTATATAAAATTTTTATATGTTTCTTACATTATGTTGATATATGTGTAGCACTGCACTAACCTATTGTATAGTATTGATCTTTTGCTGTTGGGTACCAGTCTGAATGCTAGCGGCTTTGATTTCCTAGGGACTCCATTGAGCGCAGAAGGATTATATATTTATAGTGATGCTAGAGGATTATCACCTAGGCTCAGTGTGGTAACAGGTTTATAAACCAACATTAATATGAACCTTATTCTTATTATAGAAAATACAGTAATTACTCACCAGTTACAAGGTTGGCAGGAATCCTGTCAGTAAGAAAATCCACAACAAGGATACGACTAGTAACAAATAACACACCACCCTGTGTGTACACATCATATCGCTCATTACTGCCTACTTCATTGTTGATGATTCGAGGCAAATGACTGACTCCTTCTGCCCTGAGTTGTTCAAGAAAATATTCCTAATAAAGTAAAAGAAATGTATATCATTATAAAATTCACAACATGAAAAAAAACTCTGAACTATGAAGCATTTGATGAGCATTTACCCCTGGTTCACATATCCGCATTCCAGCGGTCTGCGTTTTGCGCGGACACGAGAGCCCATTCATTTGAATGGACTCCCGTGCCCCAGGACACGCAGGGAAGAAGTCCCTGCACTTCTGAAAATGCAGCCCGCACGGGAACCTCAGTTCCCAGTACGGTTGCGATTTCCAGTGCAGGCGGCATGCCATTAAAATTAATGGCACCCACGGGTAAGCATTCCTCTGTGTGGGTGGTGCGGATCCGCAGCGGCACCACTCGCACATATGTGAACCTACCCTTACACTGTGTAGTACACTACTGCTACGTGTTGCACAAAAAGGTCTGAACTAGGAGCGTTTCTGTAACAGTACTTACAAAATGATGGTGAGGGTACATCCATCTTACACTGATCAATATGCAACAATGTTGGGATACACTTTCTTTTTAAGGGTCATGCACACTGGACTTAAAAAAAATGCTGCTTCTACAAGTGTTTTGCACTGTAGAAACAACTCAATGTTATCCTATTTGTCCATGCACATTAGGACGTTTAGAGGCATATTTTAAAGGATATATTCAGGGTGTAACATGTAACATTTTACAAAAGGACCGGCCAATGCTCCCCTCCACTCAGCCCCCACACTCCCCCGGTCTCCCATTTTGAAAGCTAGCATGGGATCTTCTCTGTGAATGGACTACAACTACCAACAGCCTTTGCAGCTGTCAGCTTGTAGCTTTCAATGAACTACCACGGTGCTGTGAGTGCCATGGTAGTTCATTTATTCTTCCTGTCAGTAAGTATCTGCTTGCTCATACGAGGTATGAGCACATAGATACACGGAGAGATCTGCAGGAGTCCTGCATGGCATCAGCGATCAACAAAACAACAAAGAACAAAAAATAGTAAATGCACATTTTCCTACCTGCAAAAAAAAATGTTCATTTGTTATTTTTTAGCAAAAGGTGAATTTATCCTTTAAGCTCAGGGTTTAAAGGCAAAAAAAACCCATCTGGTTTGTGTTTTTGAGAGCAGTTTTCTAGCAGAAAAAAAGGAAAACGCTCCTAAAAGCCTGTACAAAAATGTTCTATATGAGCATTTTTTTTTCTGCCAAAAGAACCAACGTTACCATGTACCCTTGATGTTAAGGCATTCCTCTACAGTAGAATGTTATATGAAAACAATTAACTATGATTGCAAATGTGGTGATTGGACGTGGACAACCAATTTTCTAAGATCCACCATCTTGTATCATACTCTGCAAATATAATTTTCTCCCTCCAGCCCCCTCCCCTTGCAAGGAATGTGGTCTCTGTGTGTGCTAAGTTCAGGAGTGCACAGGGCACAGCTGGATACGCTTCATGGTTGTAAACCCAATTAGCTGGTTCCATGATGTCTGTCAGACTCTTGCCTTGGCCTGGCCGTAAAACTATAAATCAGTCCGTCACTGGACATGAAAAGCATTCCAGAATGGCAATAAAACATACATCCCACTTGAAACCACTTTTTCATACAAATTGATAAATCCCGACAGGAGCAAGGTACAATAAAACAAAGCATATATTCAGATAGGTCAGTTTAATACAAGTCACCTGGCACCTACACGAGAGTAGAAAGCAATATGTCTTTATCTGGAACGGTAAGATATGTCATATTTGATGCCTGGACGTTCAGGATATCATTCTGCATATTAATTTGCCAGTGACTAGGATGCTACATGTACCTATAGAAGGTTATTGACCATGGTATAAACGTGAGAGGGATTTGGTCATAGCCCTGCCTAAACACCCCTCCCCAAATGAGGCGATTGGTTCTCTGCTTTAAGGAGACACCCTGCTGGGTTCCTAGAAAAAGGGCTGTAATGCCTGGAGAGAATGATGGAGAGATTCTCCCTTTTAACATCAGGAACCAACTTCGGGAGAAAAGGTACCCTTTTGTTCAGGATACTTGAACTCTGCTTAAACCAAGGACTTCTGCAGGTATCCTACCTTCTCCAATTTCTTACTTTTATCTCTCTGTTGTATTAATGCTTTCTCTATTTTTATATATTGGTTACATCTTTTCGGTAAATATTTTTATTGCACCATTTTGACCTTTTTAGTAATAAATCCTATTTTCTGAAAAGTGTTGAACTGTTTCTAAAGCTCTTTAGTGCAGACTAAGAATCCCTGTCTCTGAAGAGTGCTACTGTGTGTTTTAAAACCTCTGGATACATCTGTCTGCGGTGACAGTGTGTATACAGACGCTTATTCAAACATTATAGTGTTACTGCTAAGATTTGTGAGTTTCCTCCTCTGTAAAAAAGGTGGTGGTGGCAGTGTGAAGGGTTAATTGCGTAATTAACCTGACCCAGTAACAATTGCTCTCAGGCTGCTGGCACCTAGATTAGGATCCAGTGAGCTGGAAAATCTTTGTGCAGGGTGCAGCTGAGAGTGGTATTTTTACGCAAGTGGCAGCGCGGTTTTAGATTGGCTAGTCCTTCGGTCACAAGATGGTGAGAAGGGCTGGGGTCTGACGCCACGCCCGTCACAGCAAACACTGAAGAAAGTCAAGTGAACTCTGTGAGATCTCCATTACACCCCCCCCCCCCCCCCATTGTGAGGATGCAAGGAAAATAATTGTATATGTTTGTAATTTGTTCAATGCATTTGGGAAATTCTTTGTTTCTCAGCTGTACATACATGATTTAGTGCTGTGCTGATCATCAGCTAGAATATTAAATGTCAATACTGAGCATTTTTTATAAAAGTGGCAAATAATACCTCCTCTGCTGTATTAGTATTCAACACTAATACAAGATTTCCTGGATCACAGTAAAGTTTCAAGATGTTCTGCAAGATTCTGTCAATACCGAGTCCCCGAGCAGTGATGACAAGACCATCTTCATGGAATAGATCCAGAAAGATTTGATTTTCATGCTCCAGGAGAGGTGCCATTTGCTGTCTCTGATGAGGAAAACAACTAGTGTTAAACTCAAAGCTCATACAAACACCATGAATATAGAAAAATGCTGCAGGGATGATATACTAATACTGGAGAGTGCATAATCTGGTGCGGCTGTGCACAGAAACCAATCAACTTCCATTTCTTGTTGTTGTCAAAGCCTTATAGATCAAGCTGAGAGTTAGGGCTCGTTCACACTTAACTCATTTCTAACTCTTGCCAAACGCCCCTATAGCGTTTGACAGGCATTTGGGAAGCATTTTTAACGCTCCTCAAATGCTCCCTAAACGCCCTTTGCGCGTTTTTGAGGTGTTTGATAGGCGTTTGCCAAGCGTTAAAACTGCACCACAAACGCCTATAATGAAGTTTAATGGTATTAATGCTCTGCAACTGTCTCGCAACCTTCCAGGCATTTGAGGAGCGTCACCATAGACTTGAATGGGAGGCTTCAACTCCTCCTGACTCGACATGAGGCGTCAGTTTTTTGCTGCGACACAACTTGACGCTAACGCTTCAGTGTGAACAGCACTGTGTTCTGCCATGTGCAGAATTTTCAGAGGTGTTTGAGAACTTTTACCCCCTTCCTGTCCAGGGCAATTTTCAGCTTTCAGCGCTATCACACTTTGAATGACAATTGCGCAGTCATGCAACACTGTACCCATATGAATTTTTTACAATTTTTTTTGAGACAGGTAAAGCTTTATTTTGGTGGTATTTATTCACCGCTGGGATTTTTATTTTTTTTTGCTATATAAATGAAAAAGTCAAAAAATTTTGAAAAAAACGTTTTTCTTATAAAATTTTGCAAATAAATAATATTTCATTATAAATCTTGGCCAAAATTTATTCCGTTATCTTTTTAGTAAAAAAAAAAAAATACGCCAAATTAGTTTATAACCAAAAATTATAAATTTTTAAACATTTTTTTTACATTTTTATATTATTATTTATGGGGTTTTTTTTTTGCTTGTTTTTTTTACATACCGTCACCCTAGCAGTACAGTGTCACCATGGTGACACTGTACTACTTGTAGGGGGTGATGAAGATTTTTTGTTTTTTAACAGCGATTGCTTTTACACCCATATAGGATATAAAAGCAATCATTTCTCTTTCTCTCTGTCTGCATTCTTGCAGCCATTGAAAAATACTGTGTGAGCTGTGATTGGTCAGAGCTTGTCACATGGTACAAGGCCGTTGTGAATAGCCTTGTACCATGTGACCTCTGATCATTCACAGATTTCACACGTTGTAAGCAATGATGTCACAAGTGACATCTTGCTTACTACTTTGCATGTGATCACTGATTGGCCAATCAGTGATCACATGATCGGGACCTCGTACAGAGGTCCCGTCCGACGATCGGTGTTGCACTGTGTCCGGAGGACACAGCGGGCACCGGATTGTGGTGCTGCGCGCTCCAAGGGAGCGCGCACAACTAGAAATAGCGGGTGCCGTTTATGAACGGCAACCCGCCCCTGGAGTGCCACCGCCCTGCCATTTAAAAACAGTAGGCGCACGGCAAGTGGTTAAAGCTGAACTCTGGTGGACAAGTAAATTAGCTCTATGAATTCCATTACAAGGGTGCATAAGAAAGCAGATAACATTTTTTCTACCAAATCTTCACTGTTTAGGACAGGGGTGCTCAACCTTCTGAAGAGTGAGGGCCACTTAAGCAATTTGGTAACCAGTCATGGGCAACAATGAAATGAAAGGGAAAAGAATTTAATTTTTTTTTTTTTTTTTCAATAGCATAATGAACATTTCCTCTTGGCAGGAAGAATGTTGGCAGGAGGAAAAGGAGGAGAAGCCGGCTTTCAGCAGTTACAGGAGGACCCTCCTGTCCAAGTGTAAAACAGAATGTGACAGGAAGGCCGCATGGGCCACCTGGAGTATAGGACAGGTTTGCCATTGCGACCCCTGACACTACACCAGTGGTTGGGGGGGTTTTGGTAAAAACACATCTCAACTATGGGATTTTACTGGCCCCCCAAACCGTCCTTACTGTTCAAAGCCCTCTATAAAGCTGCTTTCACACTGCTGCAGCACAGTGCACCTGCAGGTTAGCTGCGTTTTGATTTCTATTACATCTTGAAGTAGTGCACGTTTGAAAAATGCACCAAAACTCCTGCATTCAGTTTGAGGTGGAGGGCCACATCAGAGGGTTCCGTGGGCCACAGCTTGAGCACCCCTGGTTTAGTAGAAAAATACCTTTGTACACGCAGTTATGTCATAGCTTCCATTAAAAGGATACAGCTATGGCTGGGCACCCAGAGGAGGTATAAAGCAAGCAACACTGTCATTTCAAACCACTGTGCGGCACCCATTGGACATGTAATGGGAATTGTAGTTGTGAATGGGGGTTGAAGGTAGACAGGATTGGGGGTGGGTGGTTGATGCTATCATTGCACTCTGTACAGTAAATGATGCCATGATAGAGGACAGGTCAGTCCATGTGAATGAGACTCCCAGATCCTCTCACCACAGACAGCAATGACATCTCCATTCAGAGACACCAATATTACATGGGGTGTTACCAGACTAGAGGCTGGGGGGATAGTCGGCATAGAGGCCAACCATCTTACTAAATGACTGGCTGCTTCCAGAGGGGATTTCTAGTGGGAGAACATCCATTTGAAAACATGGAGATATTACTGAAAGATCAATTACATCAATAAGTATGCAAAAAAAAAATCTGCCCAGAGTTCAGCTTTATCATGTAACCAGAGAGACGTACTAAACTGCATATTGGGATGATGGGATTATTGGCTGCAATGCTCAACACTCTCATTAGGTGTCAGTATATATTTTACACACACAGATGGTAATGACTCGTTTTTACTCAAAATATGTTTTCTTTTCTGCACTGCTTGATTCTATGTTGCAAGAAGTAGTGGCCAACGTTTACCCTTCACTTGCTGATCTATATGCAGCTGTATAATGGAACTATAGTAAATTATACTGAAATAATAGAAATATGGGTATAGTTATTTTTTCACATGGGGGATTATCGGTGGATTATTGTAGATACACATGCCAAGGACCATATTTGACCTATTTCTGAAAGGATTATGGTTATAGTTATTTTTCTACATAGTGATTAAGGCTGGAATATCATAGTTAAATATGCCTAGGAACACATTTGACCAGTTTCTGATAAGGATATGCGAATAGTTTTTTTTTTTCTACATGGGGGTCATGGGTGGATTATTGTGGATACACATGCCAAGGACCGTATTTTACCTGCTTCTGATAAGTATATGGATATAGTTCTTTTTTCACATGCGGATCATGGGTGGATTATTGTGGATACACACGCCAAGGACCGTATTTGACTAGTTTCTGAAAGTTTTTTCTACATAGGGATTATGGGTGGAATATCACAGATAACCACTTGCCAACCGCACTACAGCGTGGTTGTCCAGTTCTGGGAGGGCATCCCTCGGCGATCTCCGTGATCACTGTGTCCAACAGACACAGCTAATCACGTGATGTGGTAAAAGGCCAATCACAGCAGCCTATTACCACGTGATCAGCTGTGTCCAAAGACACAGCAGATCACCAGGTAAATGCAGTTGTCACAGCATGGGGAAAGTACTGCCGATAACCGGCAATTGTCAGAGGATGGATCGGCACCGATCATCAGTGCCCTGATGATCAGTGCCACCCACCAGTGCCGCCCACAAGTGCCGCCCACCTGGGCCCAGAAGTGCCACCCACCAGTGCCACCCACAAGTGTCCAGCAGTGCTGCCCACAAGTGCCCAGCAGTGCCTAGTAGTGTAACCCACCTGGGCCCATCATTGTTGCACATCAGCGCAGCATCATCAGTGCCGCCTCATCAACGCACATCAGTGGAGAAAAATTACCTGTTTGCAAAATTTTATAACAGAAACAAAGAAAAACTTTTTTTTTTTTGTTTATAGTGCATAAAATAAAACACCCAGCGGCAAGTAAATACCACCAAAAGAAATCTCTATTTGTGTGAAAAAAATTATAAAAATGTCATATGGGTACATAGCTGCATGACTGTGCAATTGTCATTCAAAGTGCGATAGTGCTGAAAGCTGAAAATTGGCCTGGGCAGGAAGGGGGTATTAGTGACCTGTAGGCAAGTGGGTTAAACATGCTTAGGAACCCATTTGATTTATTTCTGATTAGAATATGTGAATAGGTATTTTTCTACATGGGGATCATTGTTGGATTATTGTGGATACACATGCCAAGGACTTTATTTGACCTGTTTCTGATAATAATATGCAAATAGTTATTTTCTACATGGGGATTATGGTGTAATATTGTGGATACACATGTAAAAGGACCACATTTGACTTGTTTCTGAAAAGAATGTGAGAATAGGTATTTTTCTACAGGGGTATTATGGGTGTATTATTGTGGATACACTTTGCAAGGACCATATATGACCTGTTTCTGATAAGAATATGAAAATAGTTATTTTTCTACATGGAGATTATGGGTGGAATATCATGGTTAAACATGTTTAGGAACACATTTGACCTGTCTCTGATAACAATATGAGAATAGATTTTTCCTACATGGGGATTAAGGGTTATTGTGGATACGCATTCCAAAAACCCCATTTGACCTGTGTTTGATAAGAATATGGGTATAGTTTATTTTTTTTTACATGGGGACTTTGGATAGAATGTCATGGTTACACTTAACAAGTTACTTTTAACCTCTGATAAGAATATGCACATAATTATTTTTCTTTGTGGGATTATGGATCGATTATCATTGTTACACATCCCATGTAATGCATTTGACTTGTTTCCAATAAAAAATGAGAATATCTATTTTTTTTACAAAAAAGATTATGGTTTATTATTTTGGTTAAACCATGCCTAGGAATGCATTTGACTTGTTTCTAAGAATATGGGTATAGTTTTTTTTTCTACTTGGGGATTATGGGTGGAATATCGTGGTTAAACATGTTTAGGAACACATATGACTTGTTTCTGATAAGAATATGAGAA